ACCCTAAATAACACGCGAGCATAGTCGTGGGAAACTGCTAGTTTTAAAATAAAAATCTAATTTAAATAAATTTTATCTTACCATACTTAAATATTTTTATGCCAATTATATTCAATTTCGAACTCTATTATCTTCTTTATTTTGTAAAATTCTATATCTATATATATCAAATTTTTGACGGTGAATGAATTTAATTTAATAGCAAACAAACCTAAAAAATAGTCGTAGTTTATTAATAGTTCTAGTCGGCCAATTATAGTTCATAAAAGATAGCTTGATCTCTGCGACAGCTGTCAGTAAAAATCACGCCTATGAAGTCCTGAGTTTCTTAGTAGCACAGACAGTACCTGTCAATGTTATACTTTATGGGCATGCACTAATTAGGTCGGCATGCCCATAAAGTATGACATTGACAGGTACTGTCTGTGCTACTAAGAAATTCAGGACTTCATAGGCGTGTTTTTTACTGACAGCTGTCGCAGAGATCAAGCTATCTTTTATGAACTATAATATATAGTACGTGAGGAAATATGGCCATCCGGTTAAAATGGTCACTTTCTTGTAACTCCCAAACAATAGCCTTGTTTGCATAGATGGCCCTGTGATATGATAGCTCTTCATCAGTCAATCAAATAATAAAAGCTCTAAAGGGCGCTGTTTTATCAACGCCATTACGACAGTTGTTTTTCTGCTACTAGCTGAGGCTTTGTGGGTTTGTAACGTATTCTTATTTATTTCTGCTTCTCAGTTACTTGCGAAATCATAAGTTTTGATTAGGTAATACTATAAAATAATGAAAAAAATTATGTAGCAACCTTTGCGCATAAACATACAAAAACTGTAATCTGAGAGATCAAGCTATCTTTTATAAACTACAGTGCATGCCCATAAAGTATGACATTGACAGGTACTGTCTGTACTACTAAGAAATTCAGGACTTCATAGGCGTGATTTTTACTGACAGCTGTCGCAGAGATCAAGCTATCTTTTATGAACTATAGCAATAGGCACAGCAAGGCGGATTACATCTCATATGTATCAAAATAGGATCCTTGTGCCGTTAGCACATAAATATTATCACAGCACGTTTTAGTATTTTGTGTAACCTATTTTTTTTATTCAGATTGCCGTTGGTCGTAGTACAAGAGACCATAGCATTGATGTGGACTTAAGTTTGGAAGGTCCTGCAGCAAAGGTATCCCGTAAACAGGCCACAATACGTCTGCGTAATAGTGGGGATTTCTTTATGTCTTCGGAGGGAAAAAGACCCATATTTGTCGACGGTCGCCCTGTGCTTCAAGGAAATAAAGTCAAGCTCAATCACAATACCGTTATTGAGGTTTGTAGCACGTTAAAAAGTATTTACGACGTTTAAATGTAATGCTAACGTTAACTTTTATCTTCAGAATTCAATAATTTTGCGCATAAGCACTATAGTTGTATTAATAATATGCGTATATTTGAACTATGAATTATTAATAATGTATTTTTGTACGTTTATTATTTACAGATTGCTGGCCTCCGGTTCGTTTTTCTCGTCAACCAAGAACTCATAAGTGCCATTCGTCAAGAAGCAGTCAAGGTCAACATACCTGTGTAATAATAGAAATCATTAAAAACGTTGCTTTAATAAATAAGGCATTTTTATTTGGAACACATTTATTTGGTCAATTTTAGAACAATTCTCAAAACTAGGTACCACTCATAAACAATATACCCATTAAAATATATTTAGTTTCACGCACACACTGCACTGTTTATAGTATATGTATAATACGTTATAGAATTCAAATATATAGAGCAAGTGTGTGGTTAACAATAATTACATATTACGTCTATCACGAAACACTATCACGTGCGTTACTGGCATAAAAGATATGCGTTAAACGATAAAACAATTTACTTATGAAAACTATAAATAAAAATTATTCCATTACCCTTAACTAAATAGTGCTCTTAACCGCCTTAAAATATTAATATTAATATTTAAGAATGGCCAACGATGTGCAGAAAAATTAAACTTAACAAACCAGTCAACAGTGCCTAACAAACATACACGAAATTTAAAAATCAAAGGTGAAATTAAAATTTAATACCTTTGAAAAGTTTTAATAAGAGATACTGTTTAAAAACAATGAGCCTCAAAATAAGGCATGTTGAATAAATAATTTATTATGGTTTTTATATTAAAAATCCTAACAAAATACATGCTAGAATAAATGCAAAGCATCTATTTAACATTACTTTGTTAATTTTTTTTAATTTATAAACATGCCAACGTTATCATAGACTTAACAAAACAAATAACTATTACAAAAGAACTGATCTTTTAGGTAAAGTAATAACTTTTTATACTTAAAAACTATTAAAATTGTCTTTAGTTTAACCCCCTTAACACGTACAATAAAATGTATCTACATATAATAAATAAATTTTCCATTAACCACTCACACATACAAATCATACGATTAAAGTAACTATTACTTAGCTACTATTCCTTTACAATTATCTACGAAGGCAACACTTGCTAAAAGATAAAAGCACATATTTGGTATATTTATTAACACCCTGTATACATTATAAAAATAGTATATATTATATAGTTAAATGATTTAGGCACGACATGTACAAATTCAAAACGGGATCGCTTATTGTGTGAGATCATTTTATGTTTTCCGATAAAATATATATCTGTGAAGATATTTTTTTCTAAATACTACACTGTAAAAATACTTGCGCTTATACGTGCGCAAGGACTGCTCGTTAAAAATGTACCCACCTGTTTATTTTACTTCATACTGATACCAATGGCTTCATTCGCTCTGATAGAGCCTTTTCACATAAAGGTACACGGTGTTTATAGAAACGGTTACAATAACGTATAAAATGCATTGCGTCCGCACAAATTTAAAAGTATGACTGCGGCCTTACCCATAGCGTATTACCGAAACGTTTTTATACGGTTTTCCATGCAGTTGAAAAGCCGCATCTTAACAAAAAATTCACAAAGATCGGTTTTAAGAACCATATGCCACGCCCATCTGTATTTGAAAACCTACTCACAAAACCTATAAATGTTTTAAATGTTTAACGTATATGAATAAACTGTATTAGAAAACCGAATCAAATAAACCGAAATAGTGGGAACTTTTTGTAATAGTGCGTTACGGTGCTCGATATATCATAGTTCAGTTGTGTTGTTGCAAAATAATAGCCAAAATAAATTATCAAGTTATGGGGATAAAGTGCCGATATCATGGTATAAAAATAGTACATCCCATTACTTTGTAACGGTACTTCACAACGCATTTAGTGTTCTCGTATCGCTCTATTTGTCTATATATATTATGATCTAATTACTCGCAAAAATCACAAACTTAGACACACACACTTAGAGTAGAAACCGAGTACGCTTTGTTAGAAATCCTTTGGTGTGACGACGCATTCCACTGTTTGTATATCAAATCTTAATTGTGAAAATAAAGAATAAAAACGAATCACTACTCTACTTGTTGACGTTTAACGACAAATAAAAGTCACGGAACACAAAACGCAATGACTTTCCATTGCGAACACAAAACGCAATGGAAAGTATAACCTTCATACTTTGCGCAGAACATGGTTACTTATTACAAACAATGTTGCTGGGTTGTGACCGTGCAAAAATCGCGAATACTGATGAATAATTGGACTTTAAACATTTAGGAACAATTCAACACATTTTCATAATTTATAGAAAAGCTAACAATCTTTATATTCAAACCACTTAGGTTTTACATTAAATTTGTAATAAATACATGTAATATGAATAACAAACGCTTGCTTTCAAAGGCACTACACTGTACATATATTGCACATGTATTTAGTAAAATGGACTTGTTATAGATACAATCACTTATTAACTATATAAACTCATGTAGTGTGAAATATAAATAAGAAACAGGCACTTAATTAAAAAAAATTAAAGTAGACACGGTTTTCTTCTTTTAGCATGTTAATCTAAAGTGCATCATGTTAATCATAAATGGCAGCTAGCAACAATTAGCGGTGGAGTTTAGTAGCTTTCTACTTTTAAAAGGATAAATAGCTACATTCTTCTTTTAAATAATAGATATTTGTGAGTATTACGGTTACTTTTACTTTTCAAGAACATAGCATATTCATATAAGATTATAAAGTTTTTACACATAAAAATCGGCAAAACTTGTATAAATATTTAGTTAACAGGTATTATTTACCTTACAATAAATATAGTGCTCTTTGTACTTTTATACTAAATTAATAGTACATCAATTACTTAACCATAGTGTGCTTAGAAATTACGTGAGCAAAATTTGACCATTTTTATGGTCACAATTAATTTTTTTTCTGTAACAGACATTTATGTTACATTACAAACAATAGAAAACTATATGTAAAGGAAATCTAGTATGAAATATACAAAGTTTTTCGAGTGCCTCTTGTGAAATTCTTAAAAAAGAAAACTAAAAACATTGCCATTTTTCCTATTACTGAAAAATCAGTGCTTAAATATGAATATCAAATTTAATATCTTTACGTCCAAGGCTTTAAATCACATGAATTTACAAGAACTCTAAAATTTTATTTACCTCAAAATACAAGTAATGTTTGAGTTGTAATATTATTTAAAATGAACAACGGAATGATGAGAAAAGGCATTTTTATAATCGGAATGATCTATGAAAAAAAACTATAGATAAACTTTGAAATAATATAACAAAATACAGATCTTTTCAGATTGCACTATAAGTAAAATATACAGTATGTAAACATCTGTTTTTTTTTTTTGAAAATCACAATACAATTTTGGCTTTAATACTATACATACTTATTAATTATTCAGGTAATATTTAAAATGGTTAACTATGGAATAGAAGGAATGTTTTGACATGTAATCATTTCAAATGGTGGGACGTTGAATAAGCCAATATGGCTAAAGGATTTTATTTATTAGTTCCAAGGAACTTAAACAAATTACCCTAGTATTTTTGTTTTAATCGTATTGTATATTTTAGTTTCCCTGACGATATATCCTCTGTCTTTGGTTGATGAGATATAACAAATTTCGAATCACTAACTGATTTATATTTTCGAAATTTTTCTGCTAAAACAAATGTTTTCTTTCTATGGCTGAACACAGCCTTTACTTTTTTATTTAATGCCATTTTGTCAATGAAGTAGTTTTTTTCTATAAATACCCACGGTTGCCATTTTCTACCCGTTAAGTCAGGACTGAATGTGTCATCATTTGACGTACTCGCATAGTGAGCGCCATTTTCATTTTTTTTAATAACTACTTTTGGAATAGAATGCTTTTGTTTTTTATTTTTTTCCCTATGCATTTTAATTTGGATTTCATCTATGCTTTTAAGAACATCCTCAAATTTTGGTTTATTCTTCTTTGGAAAGTGCGGTTTAAACAAATTATGATTGTTGTTATGACATTTATCAAGCTTTGGTTTCTCTTTGGTTATTTTTAATATTTTTAATTTATTTAGACTATGTTGTGGTAAAGGCAGTTTCACTTTGAGGTCACGTATTGTTTCTTTTAAAGGTGGAATGTATTTTTGCGCAGCTTTTGTAATGAGTGGTCGTTTGTTAGATATGTTGTTAGTGTAATTTTTCAAATCCTTATTTTCCGAAAATTTACAACTATATTTTCTCTTGTTTTTTGTATCAAAGTCGTTTATTTGCGATGATATGGATCCATTACAGTTTGTTATTTTTAGTAAAATTCCGCAACTTTTTTCTTCAGAAGTTGTGGAAGACACTTCAGGCGAACTAGAATTAGAATATCTGGGGCTTTCAATTTTTTGTTGATATGATATTGCATTATTGCCACAACTTGACTCACATGAATGTACTATGTCATATTGAGTTGGTTCGTGATCATTATTACCTGAAGACTTATGTGAGTTGTCATCATTGTCAGGATCAATTAATGTGTTTTTGTAACTTTCAGTACTACTTGGAGGTAATTCAAATTCTAAATTTTCTTTATCATCTTGCGTATTTGTATCAGAACATAAAATATCAGTTTTAAGTCTACTACATTCTGCGCCAGGTATCAATTGATCTTTATCGTTTGATTCGGACAGTATTTTCTCTAAAGAATCATTATCGTAATAACGGCTGCTCTCATCTAAATATTGAGATTCTCTACGAACAAGAGTTTTTTTTACGTCCATTTGCGGTGTTCTGTATAACGTTTCTACAAGCTCTGCGTCATCGTTACACATTTCATTACCATAAATACGTTTAATTTTATCTAAATGGTTGTGGTCACTGTATAATAATGATTCATTTTTGATATCTTCACATTCAAATACGTCATTATCGTTTGGAGATAATGGCGCATCAAGTACAACATCTTCTGCAATATCGTCACTAAACACTGTTTCTATACATGCGACATCTTCAATCCATGTGTCACCAAATATTTTTTCTTCAGTACGTTCATCCTCAGTACAGTGAGGTAGAAATCCGTTAGAAAGTGTATCAAATTTTTCATTAATTTTTGTATTAGTGTTAAAATCTTCCCTTACAGATATTTCATCTGCAAATATAACACTCTCTGATGTAAATGTACTATTATCTTTTAATTCCCCATCATCACATGCATCTTCACATATTTCAGCTAAACAGATTTTTTGCGATTCCTCACTTTCTCCTGTTAAAACACAAGAATTATCTATAAGTATGCAAAATGAAACATTTTTTTCATTGTATAAAGTAGAGATTGAGTTTCTTCGATTTGTCTGAATAATATTACACAAATTCTCTGCTATTAGGTTTGGTTCCATCAATTCACATGGATTTATTTTTTTACGTTTTTTTGGAATCACGTACATGTTATCGATATTTTCATTCTTTTGGTCATCACTGCTGTAGATATTTATAGCGGAATCTGATAAAGATCTTTTCAATCGTATTTGATTGTTGGTAAATACTTGTTTATGTTCATTTAAAAATTCTTTCTCAAGCATATCACTGCCTTTTTTTTCAATATTGTTACAATTTATTTCACTTGATAATAGTTTTGTATCTTCACAAATCTGATCATTTTTCGAAATAGTATTACACACAACGTTTATATCTGCACTATTTTTTAAATAACAAACACCATGTTTCAATTCAGATTGTACCGAGTCAACTTTTTCATCTTTACAGCTAACATTGTTGTTTGAAGAATTGCCAAAGTTTTGAGGGTTTTCATGATTATTTTCTCTACAGTTTTCTTTGTTTTTACAATTGAACTGTTCATTAAGCAAATTAGTACTGATGTCAACTTCACTTACATTATCTGAAACATTTCCATTCATTCCAATTTTTGTATTCATATTAACTATATCCATATTTACATGGTTTTCTACGCAAACATTTTCTGTTTGAGGAGATGACTTTTCTAGGTTTAAGTTATTCATATTGCCTTTTTGTAAGGATAATGTAATGGTGCTATTTATACTCAAATTTTCACATTGATTTTTAAAATCATTTTCTTTTAAACATATCCCTTCACTGAATAATATAAGGTTCTGTACCGAAGCACTACATAACCGTTTTTTAAAGCGAAAATTGTTTTTTGTCTTACCAGCATTACCTTTGTTATCAGATATTCTTTTTCCAGTTATATTTTTGACATCCAGTGACTTTATGTTAGTTTTGCTGGTATGTTCTGATTTATTTTGAATAGTCTGTACCCGGAGATCTGCATTTTGACTGTGATCGTTGTTCATGCAGGTAATATCAGACATAGATTGTGAATCTTCTGGTGAATTCGTAATATTTTTATTCATTTCTTTATTACATAGTTCATTATTAAATTCTTTTTGATCACAAACTTTTATTTTTAATTCATGAGTCAAATCGTTTTCGTTATGACTTCCCTCACAAATAATTGTATTTGTATTGATTTCCAAAACTTTATCTATATGAGGACTTTCTGAAGAAATTGTACTTAGGCTGTGTTGTGATGCTTCTTCTATGCCACATGTAATGTTAGGGAGTAAATGATATTCTTTATCATTCGTTTGGGCACTGTTAAACATTGAATCACATGTATTTATAGTGTTAATGCCTGTGTTGTAACACAGTTTATGCTCAGACGATATTACTTCACAAAATCCTTCACGTATGGTTTTAGTCGTGTTACTCTCTGAATGTACATTTTCATAACTAGTTTTGGAAGTTTCTTTACTCAGTTCATTAAACAGTTCTGCACTAGTGTAACTGTCACTAAGTTTGCCAGGTTTTACATTTTCATTAATATCATTTGATTTATCATTATTTTGGATTATTTGAAATTCAGACGTTTCATATGCTTCTGGAATATTTAAGTCCTCATCTATTATATTAAGCAGTGATTCACTCACAGTATTTTGTTCTATATGGCATTCTTTTATTGAATCAGTATCATTTTTATGTAAACTAAAATCAATAGCAGTATCTTCTAGTATGTTCGAATTTTGCCCTTCGTTGTTATTTACTTGTGGTGCTTGTTCACACAAATAATTTTTATCTATGTTTTCGACATTATCAATAGAGCTTGGTCCATCTTGATCTTTTTTCTTATCTGGATTTTTAATAATGACACTGTCTGTTCTAAATTGCATTTTAACAAAAGTATTTGTTTGGTTATGACTTTCTTTTTGTTCAAAATCAGTTTTCTTTAATTTCCGATACTTACTTAATTTTGTAACTTCTTTATCTGATTCAGTTTTTGAAGAAATTTGTCTTTCATGTCCTATTTTTTCTTTATAAAACTTTCTATCTACTTGCTCCGTATCTAACATAGGTAAATCTTTTACAGATGGAAGTGTTATTGCTGATTCTATTTTATTTGCATTCATAAATTGCTGATTTATTTCCGGAAAATTTAATTCAATATCATTATCAAGTCTAGGCAAAGAAGCTAAACACACACTTGAATTATATTCTAAATCTTGTAAACTGTAATTTTCTTTACTTGCAACAGTGCAATTATCATTCGCATACTTTACATTTTCCATTGTACAACTTGATACATTGGTAACCTCTTTTGAAGAATTTTCATAATTTGGAGAATTAGGAAAATTCCTATTTTCAACAGTGTTTGCTTTCTGTAACAAAGCAGGTTTTGTGACAATCGGATTAGATACCTTTTCTATTACTCGTTCGTCTAATAAGCTCTGTATAGGTGTGGCAATTTCAACATTTAACATTTTTGGACTACATGGTTTTATTTCAAAATTACATCCTACTTCTTTATGAATAACTGATTGGCTTATTTTAGCCTCAACATCTAGTGGTGATATAGGCCGAGACTCATTTACCATTTGCCTCGACATAGCACTTTTAATCGGTGTATCATATTCTCTTCGTGAATTTAAATTAAAATTTCTAATATTTGATGATTCAATTACTTCTTCAAACTGGTTTAAAAGTTCAATACTATTGTAACCCTTAATATTTTCTGGTAGTTTGGAAATTTTTTGTATATGATCATACTTGCCTAGTTCTTCACTTGGTACATTCACTAAGCCAAGAACATAAAGTTGTTCCTGTTTATTTGCAGTTTCATAGTGACTAGGTATGTTATTTAAATTATTAGAATCTTTTAAAATGTTCTCATCTTTGTTTTGTTCACTTGTTTCATCATCCCCTTCATTCCACATTTGTAAAAACTGTCTTACATCTAAGTCTTTTTTTGTTTTAGAATTTTTGCTGTTTTTAGGGATTTGCATTTGTAAATTCCTCGGTAAAAACCCATATCCATAATGAGATGATTGAAATGTCTGGTGTTCAATTGGTATTCCACTAGTGTGTGAATCGACACTTCTTACACTAGTTGTAGATGACTGACTTACATAACCGCAATCTTCTTGAGTTGCACTGTGTATTTGAGTATCATTGCTAGTGTTAGAATCTGATGGAGACATTGCAACAGCATTCGGGGAGAAATGTACTGAATGTCGTAATAATGGGTTATGAAAATTACCAAATTGATCTAAATTTCTAAAATGTGGCATATACTCAAAATTTTTGGATGGTAAGTTTTCTTTTCGGTAAAATGAGTGCTGAGGTATAGATTGCATATTATGAGATGGATAGTTTGAGTATACTAATTCACTTTTCATAGAATGTGTACGGCTTACATCATTTTTATTTTGATGTGTTTCATAATCTACAATATAAGGTAATTTGTTTGATGCCCCTGATTTGGGAGAAGTGTCTGATGGATAAGGAAACATATTGTTTTGTATACAGTTTGCAGGCAAAGTACCATATGATGGATGAATTATAGGACCTCGATATGTTATGTTAAGATTTGGTGCTTGTGTAGTTGTCCTTTGGAAACCATCCATAATAGGTTCACCCATTCTCCTATCAATATACTTTAGTGGAACTTGAGGATATAAAGGATATGAATGAGTTGGTATTGATTTCTGTGAATCAAATGTATGAGGTGGAAAAGGGGGAGGCGGATGAAGTGTATTTGAATAATTATTGATATAGTCATACCTGCCATGTGGATACCTTTCTTTTGATGGTGGGTATGGTCTGAAACGAACATTTGCTTCTTGATAATATCTTTCAGGATACATTCGACCAGGTTCATCATGACCTGTTTGATGAGGTCTGATGATTGGCATTGGCATTGATCTTGGACCAGCACAACTGGGATAATTAGAATATTGATAAAGATCAGAAACACCGTAAGGTCTTAAAGGTCGGACATTAGTTGTCGGCCATCCATGTGGTACACTTCGAGTCATTCCTGAATTTGTGTTAGACGCAGGCATATCAATAACTCGAGCACTTTTTTGTTCATTACATGGATGATTAACTGTATAAGGCACATCACAAAATTTTCCGTCCAAAGGTATATTTAATTTTTTTAACATTGTAACACTTTTATCAGGAGCAAAATTTGTATCATCATTCATTTTCATGGAACTGTAGGGTGACACCATAATTCTTTGCATGTTTTCTTGAAATGTTTGTCGAGGAGATATATTTCTAGTTGGCTGATATTCAGAAATCTTTTGTGAATGCTCTGGAGGTTGACAGTACATGTTGTTAGAGCAGGGCCATTCAACTGGCACCTTTTTTATGAAGCCATCATTCGAAGTAGGCGATGGCAACACACGATCAGGTCCTATTATAGCACACGGCCGCGAGGTCTGTACATCCACTTTAACCAAAGGGTTTGTTCCAATGTCTGGACATGCTTTAATTGCATTATTTTGAAGTGCATTGCCACTCTGGCTCTGGGGATACTTTGTGCTCCCATCGTTGTTAATATGTGCACCCAGAGCAGAATCAGTCCTCAAATCTTTAGTGCTCATGACAGCAATAGCCTGAATATGTCTGATATCGGTATCCAGTCATTTTTTAACTCTGAATCTATTTGTTGCAGCATTTGGTTCTACCTAACAAACAAGAATATATTCCATCCTGAAATATAAACAAAATATCAACATCTATGCCATGTGTCAAAACACTCTGAAACATGCGTTGTGTTGTTTTTAATAAAGAAACCTTAAATACTTAATAAAAACAATTTAAAAAAGAATAACGTACCTTATTTTTAATCCTGAAATATCAATATTATTTCCAAGGCGACACCGATTTATTACGTCCCTGTTCTGTCGCCCATGTAAATCAGCTGGGTTGCCGCCTCTAAAAATTGAGAATGTTTTAACATTATGTATCACAGTTTAGAATATTATTTAAACAATTAAAAAATTAAATCAATTATTTTAATTAAAAGTAATTTATACCAATAATATATATGAATAAAATTATACTAAATTAGAAAGCTTATTATATATTTATAAACAATATTTTTAGTAAAATTATGTGGTGTGTTTTATAAGTAAATTAACTTAGATATTTAACTTCCCATAAATAAATAAAAACTTTAAACGTGTAAATAACTAATAAGATGCGTTAAAATTAATAAAAGTTATTATTATGAGGGCTAGAATATTATATAAATTGAAACCATAGGACATAAACTAAAACCGAAAAGTTCATTTCACTGAGTATTACATAGTGACGCGACGCGATACAATATTGTATGTACTCTAAGAAGTAAGTATATTGTTATAATAAGACTTCAAAAATTTTGATAAAAATAGATATAAATTTTTATACGTTATAAAACTATTTAAGGCATTATGGACCCAACTAAGTATCTATTTATTAACCCAAAAAATGTATAACCTTACTCACGGGTCACACTAGTACAATATTCATAGTATCACGCTATTTTCTCCAAGGGGTTGAGTGGAGCTTCAGATTATATTCCAAAGTCACAATGATAAAACTTAGCGTAGTTGGATATAGATATTTTGTAATGTTCCTGAAGTGCTGCTAGACGCCCGCGCATGAGCACGCGGTTCGGTGTGCCAGGATAATATGTATAAATATTTGATACTCACAACGCTCGATGCCCGATTCATGCTTGATGACCGACAACAATGTGCCGAAATCTTAATAGCGTGTGCCTACAGCGTTAGTCACAGAGAAGAGGAGCTCGTGGTTAAGTAATAATTGCGCGGATCAATAGATCTGCGAGTAAGCATTGAACTTGCCGCGGTCAGTCCATGGACGGAAGACCGTTTTCTTAACATACATATATACATATAACATAGAATAAGAGAATAAAGATATCATGTATCAAATGTATTCTCATACACTTGGTGCATTTTAATATCTCCTGTGTATTTGTCTAGTCTCTGTTAAGGTCATGGTATTTTTAAATTCATGCGGCTAAAACGATAATAAGTTTATTATTACTACCTTGTATTTTTCAGGGGCAGTTTAAAGAGAGAATCATCATAATCAATCAATCATAAACATATTGGCCTTTAAAGAGAGCAATCTTTTTTAACTGATTCCTACAAGTTTCCTTACTTAAATTATTAAGTTAACATTTATATTTAAGTTAAAATAAACTTCTATAATGCACAAAATTATTATTTTTAAAAGTAATACTTAAAATATGAAAAATACAGCAACCATTATGTAATCCCTGTCCCCGATTTTTATTTCACTAGCAAAACGTTTTCTAAAGTACTAGCTTGCCGGGCAAACGTTGTTCTGCCCTTTTCGACGACCCTTTGTCATGTCCTATAAAAATCCTTAAATTCGCGAAAAAAAATTTTGGGTCTCTCATGGGCAAAAAAACTATACTATAAACTCAATTTAGGCCAAACTGTACACGGTGTGCAAATTTTATTAAAATCGGTTAAGTAGTTTAGGAGTTCAATCATTTTTCGATAGTTTTTGTAAGAAAAATACACATCACTACTTAATGCACACATGACGAATAAAAATTGGTCACGCGTTTTCGGGCTGTCAGGTCTTCTACACGGCAGTATATTCTAAGTCTGAACTAGAAACTAAAGAAAGAAAACTGCTCCATAATTTCAAATTATTATATATTTAACACTGCACTTTTAAGCAAGTTTTGAAAAAGGTTCCAAGATCTAAGAAAAAAAAAGTTTGTTACTTAAATAAAATGCATATCCTTTTGAAACAACGACTATCTTAGTGTTGGCTTCAGTTTTAAATTGTAATTACTGAGTTGTTTGATGAATTCATCGATTTTAAAAACGACACCAATCTAGAAAATCTGTTTACATAAAAAAGGGGTAACAGGAAATATGTGGAATTTTGGAGTATAGTCCCCCAACAATATAAAAGCGTCCAAAGATGAGCTCAAATATATAAGAACATTCTTTGGGTCTACATATGTGTGCGAATCGTCTTTTTCAAAAATGAAATACTTAAAGAACGGGATGATGTAATAAGGATGGCATGTAGCGATAAGCCAGATCTTGAAAAATTTCGAAACGTGTTCACGGTATCAAAAACCGCACTAAAACATATAAACATCTTTTTTAAAACTTCTTTTTGTATTCATAAAGTAAATAAATCGTTAACTTGGAATTACGTTTTAATTAAGACCTAAATAATTTTTGCTTACGGCCCTCGACACCATAACTGAAACGTGTTTGTGGCCCCTATACAAAAAGGTTAAGTATGGTTTACCGGTTGATCGTTGTCTTCTGCATGGGCTTTCTGCCCAGTAGGTCTCGAGTCTCGGGGCATTCCCCATTACCCGGGTAATCCTCACAGCACATTAAAATGTTGGCTATCTTCTTAGCTTTGGCGTATTTCGCTCCCCTAAGAAGGAGGCCTGAGGGTCAACGACCTCAAAGCTCCACAGAGACTCGACATAGACGGATCTCGATGAAGAGCCGATGCCACCGACATGGGTGCCCTCCTGAATAGCAGCACGCTGGGCTGGGCTCTGCCGAACGGTCAGCGACTTCAAAGTCCCACGGAGACAGATCTCAACATAGAGCCGATGTCAGCAACAAGTGTGCGCTCTCCTGACAGCAGCACACCGGGCCTCCGGAGCTCCCTACCCAGCGTATAGGTGAAAAACAGTGTTGAGGTAATATCATCCCAGGAGGGGTCAGGGGCGATCTCGAAGCTCGACGTTTAGCCAAGTTTGCTCCAACGGCACGTACACCCACTGCTAAGCGACGTGCTGTACTCTTCAATCCCAAGTGTAAGCCGACGACTGGCGGACGGTGACCAGTGGCGAACGCGGTCCGGACGCTGGTTTACTGGTACCGTCTCTTTCTAGTTCAGACTTAGAATATACTGCCGTGTAGACGACCTGACAGCCCGAAAAAAAGCCGGACCAGAGACCTGACGTGAACCACGGAACTCCGATATCACGCCCGACAGACATCCCACCTGAGCTATTACGATCGTTACGCTATACGTCAAAATTTACCTTCTTATATTGTAGCAGTTTTTTTATTGCCTGAAAACACGGACAAAAGGACATTTTCTAAAAATAAATCCTAGCTACATCGATTTATTGCCCCCGAAACTCCCTCACACTGGACATTAAATTTTATGAAAATCGTTGGAGCCGTTTCCGAGATTCCGATTATATATATATACACACAAGAATTGCTCGTTTAAAGGTATAGGATACATTGACTAGAGAAGAAAGGACATGACATACCTACGAAAAAAGTGTATACCTAAACTGAGTTTCGTTTCAAACAAGAACCCACAGGGGTTCTTAGACAGGTTTTTTTTAAATCAAAATCGGGTTTGTGGCGCCAAATTGTCCTTAATTTTTTTTTATTCAACCTATCGATATGAGTATCAAAATAAAGGAAATTAAAAAGGAGATTACTGAAATATATATAAGTTGTACCTATGTTTTCAGTTCATTACTTTTTTCCGTTTTTTTTTTGTTTTTATAATGTAACTATCTATTTTTAATCTACTACTAACTATCTAATTTTAATGTTACAATTATTTACCGGCAATTACTAAATAAGAAAAGAAGAATAGAATAAGAAGATATAAAGAATTAAATAATTTTTGGTTGTTTGTTAGACAATAAATTAGGCTTAGTCATCATACTCACACTAATCAAACTATAATAAATGCAAAAGTTTGAATGTTTGTTTATTCCTCAATCACGTCATTCAAACTGGCCTGATACTTTTATGAATGTAATAATTTAGCACAAAAATAGTTTATTACCTGAAATGACATGTAGCATACATTTTATTCCGATTTAGAGGTCGTGAGGAATAGAATAAGAAATTTCGTAATAATCGAATTCCACGAGAGAAACATATGAAAATAACACACTCACCCGTAGACAGAGAAACCTATAGACAAATTGACGCCTTCTTTCGCATTCGTACACGAAAAAGATAGATTTATGCATGCGTCTTGCATAGAAATGAGATATAGTGGTGTGATTGTTCGTCCCTTTCCCCGTGCTAGTTTTATGTTTAGCAAACTACACTTTGCTAAACAACTTTGACAGTTCGTAGCGATCTAAGGAGTTTACAAGTTGGTTAAAGTGAGAAAATAGTGTTTTGTGAGCTTAAGATTGGTGAATCTTGTTCAGTTCAGTTCTTAGAACAATTAAATTTTTTATCTAAATATGTTTAAAAGTCATAAATATTATTGTATAACCTAAAACTACGTTATCTTCCTTTCTCACTCGAGGCTACGCCATAGATAAATAAATACGTAGCTACGCTACGCTAATATATAAGTCTATAGGCTTGACAACTAATATATATTTATATATATATATATATATATATATATATATATATATATATATATATACATAGTTGTCATTGACTGTGACAAAACATGGCGCCCGGTCGCAGCGAAAAAATTGTTGCCATATTGGTTATTGATAAAACTACTGTTGTCGATCTTTATGTCATGTCCTTTCTTTCTTCTCTATAAAATATAATAATCTCATAGTCAAAGCATATATACGTATGCATAGAGAGAACCTACAATTCGACATAATTTGAATCAATATACTTGTCTTGTTTTTTCTATGAAATTCTTAAAATAAGGCAAAAAGAGACAAACCTATTGAAAGATGTTGCGTGTAATTAATGCGTGGAAATAAAAATATCAAATGGTCATCCTTGGTCTCTTTATACTACGCCAAATATGAGAGTATGATATGATTTAGAAAGATGACATCCCTATTGTAGCAGTATTATGTCTTTACAAGACAGGACGTCTTTAATCTATGATGATTTCTTTCGACAATTGACATCGATATACTCGATAGAATAAATGAATTTATCGGCAACGTTTTTTGCGTTGACAGAGAATTTCGTTTCGCTAATGAGCTAAAGACACATAAATAGAGGTATCTATAGAATGGAAAAAAAGGCAACAACTATGGAGTGTAGAGGTAAGGAGAACAATCTCTCATATGAGCATAGTTGAAAAAGTGTCCATCTATAAGCATTAAATAACAGTTCATACTTCATAAACTCTCCACAACAGCGCTGGAGTAGCTACATGAAATGAACTTAGCAGTTTTTGACGATGTGAAGTGTGCTGTGTGAAAAAATAGAGGTCTTAAAGATCGATTTCTCAAAAATCGATCTTTTTTCGACTTTTAATTTCAGAGTTTTGTATTTACAATATCAAAATATACAAAAAAATACAGATTACAATCTTTAATTATTTTTTATCTCTTTATTCCATTAATAAGAGACAAAAGAAACTGAGCACACAGAAGTTTTGCGAGTTTTTGAATAGAAAAACTGTCATTCTTTACGAGTGTGGGTACATTCAACTAATTGTAAATAATTTTACAGTTCGTAATAAAACGGAAAAAGATTTGATCTCGATTTTATAGGGTGAAATATCGATTCACTAGATCGATTCAGTATTAAATAATATTGATATAAGAAATCATTATTTTTGGCACAAGAAATCGATTCTTCAATTAATCGATCTCAGATCGACATCCCTACTTGCTACATTGCATAGTACATATAGCTTGCTACATATTTATTTATCTATCATGTCCTACGCGGGCCCCGTCTTTGCCCAAGCAAACCCTAACATTTTAAATGAACTCCAAATAGTTCAGAACCTATTCTGTCGTCGAGCTGCGAACGCACCGTGGTACGTCCGCAATGCCGACCTTCATCGGGACTTAGAGCTCCCAACAATTCAACAATTTCTTAAAAAACTCTCTGAGAACTTCTTCAAAGCCTCAGAGTCGCACCCAAACCACTTAATTCGTGAGGCAGCTTCTTATGCAGCCCCACCCCCCTCTCGCTATCGTGTCCGCAGGCCGAGAAACTCTCTCTCGGACCCGCCTAATAAACTTTCAAACGACCTGAACTGTCTCCTGGCAGCTCAGGCCAACTCTAATTAAATAAAATTATTGTAATATCTGACATTAATTTGCCTTCGTAGGCACTCCCTCAGCGGCACTTAGCCGCCTGCGCCTTCTTTTCCCAAAAGAGGGTCGCTCATGATAAGGCACAATAGAGCTTAATCAGCCGGTTGCCTGTCCCTAAAGGCGGTTTTTAGGGGGTATCACTTAGGGTCCCCGGTAGGACAGTGAGTCCCCCATAACCACGATAGACCGGCTATCGTGGTATGCGTAATGCATTTTCCGCCTCCCTACGTACAGGGTAGCCCTTTAATTGCTTCGGGCGCAAAAAAAAAAAAAAAAATTATTTATCTATGGTTTTTGCTGAATTTGCTCCAAGTCAGAAATCATAATAAAAAATGGGCATTTGCTATTAATTTAATTTCTAATTACTGTTCTCAATATGCAGTTTATATCTTTAAGTTTTATTCTTTCTTTAATTTTAGCCGTTTATATAATTCATACTATATGGACTTTAGCTGAAATTTTCATACCGCCGGAGTGTAGTCGTGGCGAAAGATGTTTCTCCTCTTATTTAATTTCAAATCCAATACAACATCTGGTACTATTTACATCCGTAAATCAGTTTCCAAATTCGCATGACTCCACTTCTGACTCTATTTCTAAAATACATACATCGTTAAAAATTGACTATCGGAAACCTACTTCTATGTCAGTAAACATTTCCGTTTCTTAATTTCTACACTTTTTTTGAAATAGTAATTTTTATTTTTCATAACAGAAATGTGAACATAAAGTTACCCAGAAGAACCAGAAATAATGGAACATTATATATGCATGCGGTTTTGCTGGATGAGAGCCGTCTGTATAAAGAATTTAGTGAACTTCGTGAAACAGAAGCAATGCATACATTACCATTAGTAACTTATGCTGAACCACAAGCTGCTACTTTTAATCTCCTTAAACATAATGTGAGTTTTACAGTAATTTGCATATTTTTACATACTTCACTCTGTGCAGTGGTGTAAGATATCCACTATTCCATATTGGGCGTTGGATGTTGTAAGAGCCGACTGAGGGATACCGAAACAGATGGGCAACATCTGTTTGACAAGTCAAAATTATAAGAAACTGCCAACCTGCCTGCCAAGAGTAGCAACTATGACAAAATCCCCCATCCCATAATGTGTAAGGCCTATGTTCGGCAGTTGGCTTATATAGATTGTAATGGATTAGGTGTTTTTATTTCTTAAAATAAAAATATTAATCCAGAACTAACACTTACAACATTGCAAAAGAGGCTTGTTTTGTGAAGTCACCTCATTTGGTTAAACTATAGATATCTGGTACTCATATACGGGGATGGAAGTGGCAGGGGGGAGGGGAGGGTTCAGAGAAAGCCCCCCTACCCTTCCCATTTCTGGAAATATATAGTTTGAGTAATAATTATATTTGTAAAATCGTAACCTCACTTTTTTACACAGGAATATTGACACAAAGTTACCTCTGCAGTGGCTTCGGCACTACGGGAAGTACAGCCCCTTCGCCCTTGCGTAGCAAATCACAGGCACCCATGCTCGCCTCTACAGCTTTGGCTTTTTGGTCACCTTCGGCCACCAGCCTCAGCTGCTACAGCTCACTCAGGGGCTGCTTCCATCCGCGCCTACGGCTTTAAAAAAACACTAGGGGTATGGCAGACAAGACTATGTGAAGTCGGGGCTTGCTAATTCGGTTTTAGAACTGATTCGACAAATCATATCTATAAAGTTAGGTTGCCCAAAACTCTGATATGATACTGACTATATACCTTTTAGACCGGAACATAGCAAGCACTGTTAACTGGATACTTTTAGTCTTTATGGATGACAACGGATCTTGATAATTGGTGGTAGAAATGGTAAACTACTTACACAGATAGTAAAGGTGTCCTATCAACTAGAATATGCTACCAAAACCTCCGGCAATCAACAATATGCGCCAAGCATAGTTTTTTTTAATAAGATAAAGGTGACAAACAAGCACACAGTCCACCTGATGGTAAGTGGAAGCTGTGGCCTATAGACAACTACATCTATCCTCGATAACGAATCAAAATGCAGATGCATTGTCACCCGTGAGGACTAAGATGTGATGCCTCGTTTCTAGTAAAATGGATTTCTGGTTCTCTACACTCACCATACGATACACAGCAGCTGCTATTTTAGGCAGATATTCTGTGACAGCGTGATCCTTCCATGGTCGAGCCGATCCATTCGTGCTATAACTATGCTACTAATATACCTACAACATAGTTCTACCACATAGCTGGTGATATACAGTAAAATTTTAGACAAGCTCTCAGCCTCTCAACTACCGCAACTTTTAAATTCTAGATAGTGGTAAATGAAATAATGTAATGTGAATTGTTATAATTTTGTTTTCTGAAAAACCTCTTGACTGCTCTCCACTGCGACTCAATTTGTTGTATATGAGTCCCATCTTCAGCCACAAATGGATTATCTGGATCCGAGTGATTAACTTTTTTATGAGTGTATCTGTGGTAAAAAAAATTGACACATTTGTGTTTCGTTACATGCAAATTTTAGTGAAATTTATTTTTATCGTTGTAATTAATTCAAAAGGCATTACTGAAATCCAAAAACAGGGTAAAAGGTTCGAGCTTAACCCTGACAAACCTCATAAATTGGAAACAAAATTAAAAAATCAAGTACCGGACGTGCACTTCATCATATGAGAACAAATTGACATATTTGTGTTTCGTTATAAGCAATTTTTAGTGAAATTTGTTAGTTAGTTAGTTTACGACGGGCTGTTTTCCGCAACTCCACGTCTAAGCGCGTATTTTGCGTGTGGGCAGAAATGATGTAGTTATACGAGCCATGATATTTCCCCGAAGAAGTTCAACAGTCCTTTGATGTTGCAAGCAACTTCGGGGAGCGATCCCGGCGTGCCGAGATGCTTAGCCCTGTATGAAGCGACTTCTGGACGTGTCAGCAACATGTGAGCCGCCGTTTCTTCCTCTCCCATGCTTGCTCTGCACAGGGGGCTATCAGTAACACCTATGGTGAATAAATGTTTGTTAAAAGAGCCATGTCCTGTGATAGGACTTGTTACTATCCTGATCTGTGGCTTGTTCAGTCTCATTAGAACCTTGGTTAGATGACTGTTTATTTCAGGCAGTGCCTCCCTAGCTTGTCTACAGTCTACAAAATTATTCCAAAGTTGAGCATGTAAATTATTGAAGTATCTACCAGTGAACGAACGTAGCCAAAGGGGATTGATATTATAGGTTCCGGCCCTATAGTTACCAGAGCCAATCCCCTTCTAGGCAGTTCATCTGCTGCATCGTTGCCTCTAGATCCATTGCAGAGTCACATTATTGTGCTTACATACCTCATTCAATTGTTGATGGCACTCGTATATCAGTCCCGAATTCGTCACATTGCAACTCAGAGCTTGTAGTACCGCCATACTGTCAGTCAGTATTCTGATGGAGAAGTTTTTCACCATCCTAGCATTTATTGCTATGGCCGCTTGGATGATACCCATGCATTCAGCCTGGAAGACTGTTTTGTGGGTACCCAGCGGTGTGCATATGTGGATATTAAGGTCTTCAGAGAAAGCCCCAGACCCCACACCTTCATTTGTCTTAAAACCATTCGTGAAAACTTTGAGCTCTCTTGGACCCAATCCTTCCAGATAGTCAGTCTCCTTCAATTGTATCATGTACTTCTTATCGAATACAAATTGTTTTGGAATCCTAGCATACTTGGCTTGCAAGATAGGAATTTTTGAGTAAATTCTATCAATTATATCTGTATGGGGGACTCTACTCTTACTTAGAAGATTTAGGGTCTTGAGTCTAATGGCAGCTAAAGTTACTTCTTGTTGTATATGTAGATGAAGCGGTGTTAGCTCCAGCATAGCCTCCAAAGCTGCTGTTGGTGTACTCCTTATGCAGTCCCTGGCAGCCATACAAGCCAATGTCTGGTAATACTGAAGCTTTCGTATAGTGGTGGCTTCATTCATTTTGGTCCACCATACCAGAGAGCCATATGTGATCATGGGCCGAATTACAGTTTTGTACGGCCACAGTATAATTTTTGGTGTCAAACCCCATTGTTTGCCAGTCATGTTTCTGCATTGCCAGAAAGTTAAACTAGCTTTGCTAATTTTGTTTTCTATGTGTTTATTCCAGTTAAGTTTACTGTCCAAGGTAAGACCTAAGTATTTTACTTTGGAGGAAAGCTGGAGTATTGTGCTGAGTGAAATTTGTTTAATCGTAATTAATTCAAAACGCATATCCGACAACCAAAAACAGTGTAAAAGGTTCAAGCTTATCCCTGACAAGCCTCCTAAACTGATAACATAATTAAAATCGTGTACTGGATATCTATAGCCAACCCCCACATTTTAACTATTATGTCAACTATGTCTACTTATAAGTTTAATAACAGTTTCTCATACTTTTTTTTGTTATAAGATAAGGGTGACAAGCACACAGTCCACCTCATGGCAAGTAGTTGTTGTGACCCATAGATATCTATATCCATCCTCAACTATGAATCAAAATGCAGATGTGCTGCCACCCATGAGGACTAAGATGGAATGTCTTGTTTTCAGTAAAAGGGGTCTCTGGGTCTCTACACTCACCATACGAAACAGCAGCATTAAGCTGCTATTTAATATTGGTATTCAGTGAGAGCATACTCCTTCCTCAGTCAAGCCAACTTATTTGTGTTACTACTAATATAGCTGCAGCATAGGCCTAACATGTATGCATGGCTCTACTACATACAAAATGATTTATCATATTAAACAATTATACTTTTCAGATTGGTGCAGATGAGCGAGTAAAAAAAAGTGTTAAACCATTTTCTCATATATCAACATTGGTCCCACTGTCTATACTCACTGATAAATTAAATCTACCTGCAAAAATACCAGCTGAATTGCTTCCCTACATGAGGTATATTGCGTTTATTTAACAATATAATATTTAATTTAGTCCAAAAAGTAATAGCTACTTCTTTATGTTTTTAGAATTCGAAATGGAAAATTTCTACCTATTATTATGCACAATGTGTTGAAATCAAGAATGTCTCATTTGCAGTTATTAAATAATAGTATGTCTGATGTAAATATTACTGTGACTGTAACTCCTACTTCATATGGTTCTTTACGGTTAGCACTACATGTACAATTAGCTTTAGAGCAGCTTCACAGTCTTGGTTTTAGTGAAAAGGATGTGGATGATGTGAAAGGAATTTTTGAAGACACTAACCTCTACTTGTTATCAGCTACAGTTTTAATAGCCAGCTTTCATGTAAGTTACTATTTCATTTTCTTGAAAATGCTCTTATCTTATAGGCTGACCCTACTCTAAAATTTAAATTACTTTATAGATTTTGAATTTAGAAATTGAAAATTGTTTTTTTAATTCCTATTTTACTATTAAAGTTTCCTTTGTCCTGATATTAATTAAGTTTGATACACCAATTTATGTTGTCTTAAAGATTTGATAACATTAAAGAAGATTAAAGACCATCCATTCATTCCAGCCTATAAAAGTCAAGTGCTGCCCATCTATTGTTTCAGTTATCCCCTGTCACCTCTTATAACATTCTTGGGAAAACCAGTTATAAGATATTCTTATACTGCCACTACATGGATTTTTTTATATATAATGTTATTGACTATAAGTGAACACTGCTCCTCATCTCTATTTATTAAGCATTGTATATTTTTATTTTTTTATTTTATAGGATAGGGTGACAAACGAGCACACAGTCCACCTGATGGTAAGTGATTGCTGTGGCCCATAGACATCTACATCTATCCTTGATTACGAATCAAAATGCAGATGCATTGTTACCCGTGAGGACTAAGATGGAATGCCTCATTTCCAGTAAAAATGGTCTTCGGTTCTCTACACTCACCCAACGAAACACAGCAGCATTAAGCTGCTATTTTATGCTGGTATTCTGTGAGAGTGTGGTCCTTCCCTGGTCGAGCCGACCCAATTGTGCTACAACTATACTACTAATATAACTGCAGCATGGCTCTACCACGTAAACTGATTCATTAATTTCTTAAAGCTTACGAAAGGCTGAACATAGACTTTCCTATATTGCCTCATATTTATAGTTGCCACACTTGATAGCGGACAGGGAAACTGTTTTATTACATATATTTATTCAATGCACATATTTCTTTTAGAAACATTTCTTATATTGAAGCATATAATACACATACTTCAACAAAAAACTACACATTTCAGGTGCTTTGCACACAGCATCCATGGTCATAGTTAAGAATGGTCTTAGTTCCTCGGATCATTGCCTGCCTATATATTGTTTCCATTGCGGTCATGGTCTGCAGATTGCCACCCAGATTGTTCCCCAAGGCTGTCTGTTATTGCACAAACCATTCCTCCTGCACATCAATTATTTTTTGTAAATATAAATTGCTATGCTGCCGCACTAATAATATAAAAAAAAAACAATATATAGTATTTCATGATAGCTCATCGATTTCAACTTTGCAACGCGCAATTTCGGCCTAACATGGAATAATTTTTGCTTCGCTAGGCTGCGGCACCACATTAGCAGATCTGTCCATTAGACCATATATATCAATGAATGGCTTAAATTGTCAAAGACCAAGTTCTTTCTTTCTTGTGGTGGTCACTTACCACAAGATAGTAGTTTGTTTGACCCTCCCTTCTATAGAAAACCCCTCACTATTTTGTTATAGATTATTTGTTTGCTCACCAGAAGTACCTTGAAAACCATTATTTTTGTTTCAACCAAAAATAATATAAAACGTTTTTTTCATATGATTATAAAAATATTTACTAGATATAAGACTAATTATAAGATTTTAATACTTCTTGCTTATTATCATCTTTACAGCTATTATTTGACTTCCTTGCCTTCAAGAACGACGTGTCATTCTGGAGAAGTAAGCGTTCACTGGCTGGGTTGTCGGCGCGAACTGTATTGTGGCGAGCATTTTCACAGCTTGTCATTTTCTTCTATCTTCTTGATGAACAAACATCACTCTTAGTACTTATTCCTGCAGGCATTAGTGCGGTGATTGAGGTAACTACAAGTAAATTATTTTGTTTTTTTAATGTATCAACGGTATTTCTAAAATTCTTTTTTAATTTACGCTTAGTCATAGGACTAAGACAATCAGGTTTTCTCACGATATAATGTAATTACATGGGAGTTATTTATGCTGAGTTAGATGTACGAACATAGAATAATTATAATTGAAAACTGAACTAAAAACTGTCGACATATGATGGCATTTACAAAAGATCGTACAATTATTATTGTTAATACAATTTCGTACATTTATGATTAATTTATATCAATATCATGTCATTTAATAGGTTTTAAAATTTCACATTGTGTAATGATTGTTCTTAATTGTTAATGTCCATACTTTCAGTTTGTTTGTGATTAATTAATTATTAGATATATATCAATATTACTGACTTCGGATATATTTCCCACAAAAAGACAAATTCATTTAGGTTGTAAAAACATTTTTCTTTTAACCATTGTATCAACTTTTTTTAACCTTTAGCTGCCGACCTGGTCTAAACGTAGCACTTACGCCGACGACGAAAGACGTCAAAGTTTAAGTACCTACTGAAATAAAATGCGTATTTGTATGCTACATTTTTCTATTTTATACATAAAAAGATTGGTGTTTGAGGTAACAAACTACATAATTAAAAAATACACGCTATTTTTCAGGTAAAATCAACATTTATTCGAGAGATCACAATTATTTGGCACTAAATTTTAAGGATTTACTTCAGTCTCGTTTTTCTCTAAAATTAAGTAATCAACAACAAATAAACTTAAATTATGTTATCTTCTAGAAACTATTATCAAAACAAAACATAAATCTTACTTCTTAGTTAAAAAAATAAAAATAATGAAAGCCCTCGAATATTTGGTACATTCACTACGTACGTTTGCAGTCAATGCATATTAGTAGGTAGCAAGTAAGGCACATTGGTTACTTGCATTTGCAGCAACCGTACTTCGTTCGCCTTTTCAACCGACTGGGACAGATTGCACATGTCTTTCTAACACCTGAATCTGGAATCTGATACGTTTTTGGCACGGGCATATCGACGGGTCCAATAACTCGTTCGATACTTAGCCACAATTCTCGTGTTGGATCCTATCATTGTAGATGCGTAATTTCATTTCCGGGAGGACTATTTAAGTGCCAGCAGGAATAAAAATCGGCCACGACTGATGTCGCCTTTGTTTGTGCACTTGTTGTACAATGCATAAGTATTAACACCGCTCATATCTATCAACCTGTAAAAGAAACTCATAGGCCAACGTCGAGTTCTTCGAAGTGCGTTTTCGCAGTTTTGGAGGCTTCTCGGGAACTGAACCGTCATCATTTGCAAGTTTTTTCCGCTCACTAGGCGTGATGTTTCTCCTTTTAGGCATTCTGCAATTAAAAGTATAATTTTAAGGCCGATGTGATCAATCAGACACTATAAGCTACCACACATGAATACCGAGGTGACGACCAAGAGACGTACGTACATAAACACCGTACTTACGTCTGTGAGACGTCGATCGCTTCCTTACGAAGACGTGTGCACTCGCCGCGGGCGCAGCGTCGACTGATGGACTGATGGCTTGTGACTAAAGTTATTCAAAACGACTATAAATCAATAGCACGCTACCGACTATAAACTAGAAATTTCTAGCGCGCTATTAAATACGCTATGTTATAGTGCGCTATTTAAAAAGTGTGTAGGAGGCCGGCAAGCGCGTTAAGTTTAGTAGTAGCGGTGGGTAGTAGCGGCTTTTTTGAGTAACGAAACGAAACTATCTGTCGAATATCAATAGCGGCTTTTGAAACACTCTATTTTAATAGAGGGTTTTGAAACACTCTATTTTAATAGAGGGTTTTGAAACACTCTATTTTAATAGCGGCTTCAATAGAGTGTTTCACGACGTGTTCTATTGAAAAACGTTGCGACCGTTGTTACCGTTTCGTATAGAATTAGACATGGTGTTAATGGTTAAATTTATTTATTTGTTAAATCAGTTCGCACGGTTTGATAAAAATATCACTTCAAAGTACACTGGCATTACTTCGAGACATTTTTGATAACTATCACATAAAGTTTTAGTATTATTTTTACACTTAGTTACTTACACTAATTACTTTACAATTATTATTATCAACACTAATATATACAATTGTATTTAGTTCTTATTTTACTAAAAATATTATTATTGTTGCACAAAAAGCAAACAAACGCGCCTAAAAAGTAAAAACAAACCGTGTCATTAAACTTAAACACAAGACTAATTTAAACCGGGCCAAGGCCACTTAAATTATGGTATTTGAACTTTTTGTTGTTAAAAACATGCACACTTACTTTCTCATTTCTAATATCGCATCTATACGAAGGGAATAGAGTCACAGGTCAAATGCAAAAGCACACGCGCTCACTCGACTTTCGACGACCGGTGGTACTTCTACCACAGCGTAAAGAGTCGGTTTCTTTACTCATGTGCTTCTACTTCAACAGCCGAAGCCGTCGCCGATGCGTCGCGAAAATAGCCGAATAAAATTTTTGTTACTGATCGCTCGTTCGTGATTCGTGAAACGTGAATCGTGTTACTGAGTAAAACGTCTACTGTAATAGATAGGTTTCGTTGCACTGCAATAACCCGCTACTCGCTATTGTGTGAATAGATAGTTTCAGTAACTAGTTACGTTTCGTAACGACCACTCCTATTTAGTAGCACGCTATATCTCGGAGCACGCTACATTACCTGTCGTTCATTGGATAGACCGCGTCCTACATAAGAACATTGTTTCGTAATAAGTCGCATTTTAGATTAAAATAAAATAAAGTGGTAAAGAAAAATTAAAGAACGCTCTTTCATACTTTTCAGACTTTTTATAATCCTAAAAATATTTTTAAGGACTGTACTTTTTAAAACAAAATAAAATTAATCATTTTTTATTATAATTGATGTGAACGTTATTTTAACCTTACTATAAATTATAAATCAAAGGTGTATTTAAAAGTTTATTAATTGTATGTACAAAAATCAACTATTTACACACACTATTATATACACTTTTGTATCTATATTTTATTTACATTTAAAAACATTAGTTAGGCTTCTTTTGTAGCAGACAACTGTGTCCTTCGATCACTTATAAATATACAGTACACACTAACTAAACAACGTCTAACACTAAATTAGTTCGCGCGCGATGAATAGCGTGCTGCTAGATTAAATTTGCGTCACACGTCTACTCCCAACAGCGCTGCTGCTAGAACTAATTGCCACTTGATATGAATAGCGCCAAAGCGTCATAGCGTTATAGCGCCATGGCGACTACTTACATAGCACGCGCTATGCGTTATGAAGAGATAGTGCGCTATAATATTGCGCTATGCGCTATATTAACCACCATTACTTGTGACGTAGAGGGAGGAAGGTAACAGGAAGGGCGACGCTGAAGGTGGCGTGATTTTATAAATATTTCAAAATTAAAAGTTATTACGTCTGTGAGACGTATAGGTCGGTAGTTAAAGGTTAAACATGGTTAAAGGTAACTCTTTAAAGTCGTTGGGTATTTTGTTATACACCTTTATAGCATTTACGTAAGAGTTCCTTTCATACAATTTGAGCCTGCATTGAGGTAAGTATAGTTTATGTTTATTTCTAGGAGCTACATTTCGTTCAGTTACATCTATATGCCTTTCATCAAGATAACTACACTTTTAGTTGTAGTACACGCTACAATTACACTTAGTGTAGTTATCTTGATGAATGATCTAATTTTTGATTTTTTGAATTAGGGACATCAGAACATTGAATAAAACAGTTTTATCAACCCTCATAATCTAATGTTAGTCATTAGATTATGAGCGTTGATAATCATAAGACCCGGAAATTGCTGCATCCGATACATTCTCTTTTACTTGGTATTTTGGAATAGCATGGTTTCGAATCTCTGAACCGCAAAGACCGACACGCTGCATTGGTAGACTCGCTGCTGTGCATGGGTTGTTCGTGGTATCGTCTGCAATATCACACATTGAGGAAAGGCACCCTTAGACGTAGTAACCAAAAAAACCTGAGATGAGAGACTGCTAAAGAAGAGTAGAAAGAATACAACCCGCAATTAAAATCTCTCCACACACATATTTATCGCCCTATATCTCTATAGGGCGATAAATATCGTGCTGTTTAATGGCCACGTCACGAAATTTTCCCGACTAAGATGTGCACACTGATTTCTAGTCCAGAAATAAAATGAAGGTTTATGTAATAAAATGAGTTGTATTTAACACGAATAATTTTAATTTGTTGATGGCAAAGTTATTGATGGCACTTTCATGCTGTGTAATTTTTAAGAGATACATTTGGTTCTACTGTTTGAACACACACTCTATTGTGAAGAGTCAGAATGTGTCAAAAAAGGCACGTATGGCAATTCACAATGCTGTGTTGGTCCCTACTTTAACGTAGTTAACTAGTTGGATGTGGCAGAAGAAGCACGAGAGTAGAATAAACGCAGTAGAATTGCGGTTGTTAAGGAGTATGTTGGGGCTGAATCTAAAATCTAAATGACAGGGTGAGAAATTGTCTGATAAAAGAAGAGAAGAGAAGAGAAATGTTTCGGTGGTTTGGTCATGTGGAAAGAATGAGTGAAGAGAGTGAGTTAACGTGACGTCCTAGGCGAAAATTTATCGACCAAATTAGCGAAAACGGGCCAAATTAGGAGTACCCTTAACCGATGAGCATGTGTGTGTAGGTATGTGGATGTGAAGGAGGCGAGAGAAGTGTCAGGATCGTGTCAAACAGAAGTCTGTAGTCTCTGCCTACCCCTCTGTGTGACAGGCATGAGTGTTTATGTATGTATGTTTGAATGAGACTCCTGTGTGTTTATTACATGTCTCTGCGTCAGTTAGCATATAAAATCAGCATTTCCGAAATTATTTAGCACAACTTTGGCACTGTTGTTCGCCAGTGCAGCGAAGAGTTGTGACATTGATACTCCATGTTATTATTACGCTTAATATTCCAGCTATGGAAAGTGACGAAAGTTCTACATTTGCGCGTCAGTTTCGCTGGCTGGCGAGTGCGCGTGTGGCGTGATGCGAGCAAGGACGCGGGCGAGCAGAGCACCGCTAAAGCTGACGCCGAGGCCATGCGTTACCTTTCTATGCTCTTGTACCCGCTGTGTATCGCCGGCGCTATTTACTCGCTGGTATACGAGCCCCATAAGAGGTAAAGTTTTTTTGCGCATCTCACATTTCATGCGTAGCGTAAGAATAAACGTCATAGTAGTGTCCTGCCGATGATAAGGCGTGTTAATGATTTGGAGCACAAACCCCACGCTTAAGATAGATGCTGTATTGATCCGTGCTGACAATTGGGGTCCAACCCTGATTGTGCAAGACATTTTTTTATTGGATAGATTTACGTGGTAGAGCCATGCTGCAGTTATATTAGTAGTATAGTTGTAGCACGTCTGGGTCGGCTCCTCGGATTTCGATACTATCGAAGTAGCGCTGAGACATCTTTTTGAAGTATTCGGAGGTAGAGGGAATTTGACAATCATTGTATAAATCTGATTTCCGTAGATTCCACCATGCTACAGTAGCTTTTCGGATCAAATAGTTTGGGACTTTTTGTAGTTCAAGAAGATGGGTCTTATATGTGTGGGCCGATAGCTACACTAACGTAAGACATAATAGGTCTAACGTAGATTTTTTACATGAAGAGCAGTTTACAATTTTTTTCAATTGAGTAGTTAGCGACAGTTTACAATTTTCTATTAACAACAGGACGGAGACAGCCACGAGACAGCACGCTGCATATATTATGATTGTAGCACAAATGAGTCGGCTCGACCGGGGAAGGACCACGCTCTCACAGAATACCAGCGTCAAATAGTAACTTAATGCTGCTGTGTTTCGTATGGTGAGTGTAGAGAACGACCCAGAGACCCCTACCAACTCACGGATGACAACGCATCTGCATTTTGATTCGTAATCGAGGATAGATGTAGATGTCTATGGGCCACAGCAACCACTTACCATCAGGTAGACTCTGTGTGACTCGTTTGTCATCCTATCCTATAAAAAAATTACAGTAAGTCGAAATTGTGATAGCAAATATAGTGGCACTCACTTTATTAACCTACGATTAAGGGAAGGCATACTTCTGGAATGTGAAAAGGGGACCCACAGAGTTACCTGGTCCAAAAACCACTAATTTAAATTTTGATCCGCCTAGATGGAATCTCGATTTTTTAAATATTATATGCATGATAAAAACACTATTTTATACACCGACAATGCTTAGTTTTCTTTATCAACCTTTTTAAATGTCTTTAAACTGCTGTATGTATATAGGACAGGGAGGGTTAATGCTTGGCACCGTGGACGCAGGTTTTCAAGTACTACTTAGAATTATGAAAATGTCTTCTTAAGTTGATGTTGGTCTATTAGCAATGATTAAACTATTAAAACTCTTCTCAAAGTTAGTTTTTGTCATTTTAAATATTTATTTTTGAATACTTAACATAAGAATCTTTATATATATATATAATTATATATAATCCTATATATATATATAAGCTATATATATATATGTATATATATATATATAATTGGAATCTCGGAAATGGCTACAACAATTTAGTGTTTTGTACAAAATTTGTACAAAATTTAGTGTCCAGGGAGTTTCGGGGGCAATAAATCGATCTAGCTAGGATTTATTTTTAGAAAATGTCTTTGTCCGTATTTTCAGGCAATGAAAAACTGCTACAATATAAGAAGATAAATTTTGACAATTTGTTAACGATCGTAATAGCGTGAATTAATTTATTTAATTTTTTTTTCAAGTTCCCTTCTTTTGTGAGAAAATCTATTATTTCGAGCCCTTTTTTAGTATTTTTTAAAAATACGAAAATTTTAATTAAACTAATTGCACTCATGATTTTTATTCAAATAACCAGTTCAGTTTTTTCTATTATGTCAATAAGATCAAAAAATATTTCTGTATGTTATGTTTCATCAGTATGTAATTCTTGTATCTAAATGTAATTTCAAAAAAAAAAAAAAAAATAAACCGAGCAAAGCTCGGTCATCCAGGTGCTATAAATAATAATAAAACGACATGGGTGTTGTTAAAGGCAATATATGGAAATGAAACAGGAGATAGGTAGCAGTATTTTCCCGATCCCTATATCATGGATTTATCATTTGCCAAAAGTGAGCAAATAATAAATCCCTGATATAGACTTTCTAGTGCCGACTGACATGAATCTTGAAAAAATTTATGAACTTAATGTGACGTTTACAGCTGGTATTCGTGGGCGTTGCATAGCGTTGTGAACGGCGTGTACGCGTTCGGGTTCCTTTTCATGTTGCCGCAGCTGTTCGTGAACTACCGGCTCCGTTCGGTGGCGGCGTTGCCTTGGCGCGCCTTCATGTACAAGGCTTTCAACACTTTCATTGATGACGTGTTTGCCTTCATTATCACCATGCCCACTGCGCATCGCGTCGCTTGCTTCCGTGATGACCTGGTCTTCCTCGTTTACCTGTACCAACGGTGGTAAGTGATTCAGTTAATAACTTTTTATTCATATTATTAAACATCCAAAACTGTGTATGTACTCTAGTATTGGCCATCGGTGATCGAAGCGATGATGGTGATGGTGATGATCGTCTAGGCCGTTGCCTTATTTAGCTACGCAGAAATCCAGGCTTGGTGACAGTTAAGTGGAAGCATTTTTTAATGATAATCCTAATTAATTTAAAGAAATGTGAATTGATCGCAACATAAACAATATTTTTTAAATTTTGATTAATCATAACTTTGTCTGTGGAAGAGGATAGAGATTGGAAGCTGGTTGTTTCTAAACCGAATCCTTTTTTTTATTCCTTTGATGTCAGAATTTCATACATATTTAACTATATTGAGTTCTTTCGAAATTGATTTGGTTATTCGTGACTTCTTAACTTATATAATAAATTTAAACCTTATGAAGATTAAGTTACAAATATTTATTTAAAAATATAATATCTACAAAAGCTTGCATCACCTGACCCACAACTGGTTGTAGATTAGCAAAATTGGCTATCTAATGACCCTCATTCTTTAGATGCTATTAATTGCTGGTTCAGATATTTTAGAACCTACATTAAGAGCAGATTAATTTCGTAAAATCATTGCCTCCTTTTCAGGATTCCAGATTTCAAAATTATTTAAAATTCGTGCGAAATATCTCAAACACTAAATCAATTAGTAGTATATTCGCTATTTTTTTAAAGTCAAAAAGATAAAAAGTCGTTTATATTTTAGCTGTCAACCATTAGCTTGTTACTTTTCTAGTGCAAGCCATTGCAAATTTTTGATATATTGTGAATGTAATTTGGGTTTTTTAATTTTCATATTTAGGGGACAATTAATTTATTTGCAGGTTGTATCCGGTCGACCAATCCCGCACGGATACTGCTACGAGCATGACAGAAAGTCCCGACGATCTGGAACCTGTGAAACAGAAAGAAGATTAGGGAAATTTATTAAATTTTTCATTTACAACGAGGCTAGGTGCTGGAAATATTGGCGCCACCATAGTTAGAAAATTTTATTAAATTTTATTTATCCATGTACGCAATTAGTATGTTTGAAATAGTTTGCTATTTTTTTTTATCAATTACTCCACAGCCCTCTCAGAAATGAGAGGGGGGAGACTGCTGGCTATACTATACTCTATAGGCTGTGCAGCACACATATATTCCTCACGAAGTTAGGATATAAAACCACAATATTTAGTCAATTGTAAGTCGCCATGAGAAGGTGCTCCGGTTTAGTAAAACTATCGTAATATGTTACTCATATTATTAAATATGATCAAACACTGCTAATGCTTATGATCCGTCCCATTTGAATTTTCTGCGAATATAAACAACGTTTAGCTGCTTTTTAATATAGAAAGCATTATGTAATATATTAATTTTAATTCAATTGATTTAGTTTTTTTTTTTACAAAATATTGGCTCAACGCACATAATGCTTTCAATGTTTAGGATCAACGCACACATAATATACATGCTCTAACAATTTTAGCTGATGAATTACCTAACTCACTACTAAAATAGAATTGATAATAAACAAATTCACAACTAAAATAGAGTTGATTAAGATACAATGAAATCGAAGAGATGGTTCCCCGCAGCGTGTGTTCGCGTATGTTCCTTGCAGATACGCAGGCAGTCGCGAACATGGTCGTACATGCTCTAGTTTACGCGTGCATCGACGCTTGCGCCCAGTGGCTGTTAGTGTGTGAATAATTAATAGAATCAGACGTTACTTTGCGGAAATCCATTACATTAATGTTGGTAAGAATTACTTCGCCCATATCCGCTCGATGAAATAAAATGTGTCTTACCTAGTTTGAAAAACAACTCCCGCCCTTTTTCGATAGTGCACGCAATTGAGGGCGGGCGGGTTTTGCACTTCAAACTAAGTAAGGCACATCATTTTATTTTATTAAGCGGGTATGGGCGAAGTAATTCTTACCAACTTTAGTATGTTAGTGTGTAATTTGAAACTTTTCTTTTTAAACTTCACTCCCAAAAATTGAAACGGATAGGTATAGTGTTTTCGCCATGTGATAATGGTGGACGTGAGCATCCGCGAGAATGCATGCATAAGTGCGGAAATTCGCGCGTCCTCTGCGGCCGCCGAGTTTACGCGGCGGATTTTTACTGCCAGCGTGCTTGACTGCAAAGAACATGCACGCTTGGTGCTGCTCAATGTGTGCTGACACTTAGATGGATATTGTCGGAAATGGCCGCAGTCATTACTGTATTAGCCACACAAATGATCTCCCCTCCTCTCGACTAATGTGATCTTGCGCTGTGACACATTGTTAATTCTGAACTGACGATCTAGAAATGTACACTGAATGTAGAAGTATTTTTTATTTTATTTTCTATGTATTGTTTGTTTCCAATACTCCAATGATGTTTGTAGAATTGATATGACATTTTTATATGTTTCCATTAGTACTGAAGTAGCTGTGTTGTCAATTTGATATTGAAGTCATCTAAATAAACGAGTATTCGATATAGCTATGTTTGTAATAGTAATGTGATATCAAACTTGGTATTTACCCTAATAAATTAGAGAGGATAATTTTGGTAGTTAATCCGAGCCATCTAAGCACTATGTAAGAAATAAGAACTAAGGATTTGATAAAATGGCTGAATAAATTTATTCATATTATAAAAATGGATGAAAATTTCTTCTAAGTGTTATAATTTACTAACATAATATTTCATGACACATCGCATATTTAAAATTTTAAAACGTAATTAATAAAGCATTGCATTGATATAATCAAAAGTAAAAAGATATTGTCCGCCCAAACATAAAATCGGAACAAATTAGTTGGTGTACGTGGTGCACGGAGTCCACTGAAATACGTAAACAAACTAACCTATACAGAGTAACAAAACAACAGAAATATGGCGGTTAATGTTATTCGAAAATATTAGCTTTTATAAATTGCATAATAAATGTCCTTGCATATGGAATGTGTATCACTTCTCAAGTGACATTAAAAAAATTATCCTTTTGAAAGACAGGCTATTTAATGAATTTTAACTTTTTTAAGAATGATAGTGCGACAATGAGACGTAGTTTCCGTAGTCTACGTTTTACGGATAAGTACCTTATCTTTCCTTTTTTGTTTCAATCAATTGTTTAATGCAGGGATTCCCAAACTATTTTGGGCAAGAGACCCTTTTCCAAAATTAACTGATACCTCCATAGCCAAATTACTTTAAAAATTATCTCTAGTTTTGATAAAAAAATCTTACCAATTTAAAAACTTTGCGTTTGGTTAAGTGAGTTAACTTGACATCGTTTTCATATTGAGCTTTTTAAAAGTACCACTTCCTACTAAAATATTGGTCATTCTTATAACAAGTTAAGTTAATCTTATGTATCTTGAAAGTTTCTAATAAGGACTTGTGTTAATTAATAGGGGTCGATTTTTAACCCCAAAATCAGTTTTCGTGTATGTCGACCCCTAGGTCAATATCGACCACTGGATCGATATCGGCCACTGGATTGAAAATGGTTTCCCAGGGGTCGAGATAAACGAAAACTGATTTTGGGTGGTCAACGGAGTCTAAAAATCGAAGTCCATCGAATCCCTGTTTTAAAGAATATCTTTGTCTTTTTTAACATATTTTATGAGAATAGATTCTTTAAACTGAGTTACAAGTTTCTTGATATGACAAATATATCGTTACAGGGAATAACATTCCTAATATAATTTAGATGTAAATTGACTATTGTTGAATATTCTTAAGCCTGATTAATTCATGATTAAGACTGGTAGTTAATATTGAAAAATAACATCTAAGTATCTTACGCAATAATATACATGTAATGTATCACATTTACTTCAAAAAGTATATAATCATTATGTTTAATTGTTTTTGTTGCATTTATACCAAAATTATAGCATCAAACTGTTGATCAACCAAGTGGAATTGGAGCGATTCAGTATGCTATGTATAAGGACTTTATGCGTAACGTTATGTTGGTATTTTGTTTTTACAAATAATAAATTTTTGCAACATACTTGATTTGATAAAGTATTTTTAATGTAATATTATTTACACAGTAAATGGATTTTCTTTGCAAGGCGAGGAGCGAGGCTCTTTATATTAGAGATGGGCCGAATATGGATTTCACCGAATACAAATGTTCGGCCGAAAGTTCGGTAAAACTTTTAGCGAACCGAATATTCGGCTGAACATTATTGGGCAGGATCGCCTCGATACCTAACCAATTAATGTCGAAACTTGTTACGGTAAAGCACGCGGGATTAGCGTCGGACCCTGCTCTTCCCTCCCCCGCCAAACCTGACATGTTATTGCATCAGATGATGCAATAACATGTCAGGTAAGTACTGAGATAATTGCTGGCACATGCTTCTTTTGATTATTTTTGTAAAAAAAAAGTACTTTGTCGTGCTATTCTTAGTGAAAGTTGATTATTATATCATAAAAATGAGTGGCTTATTTTAGAGAAACTGATGAAAAAATTAAAGTGAAATGTGCTACTGTAATGTAATGTTTCTGTTTGTTTCTAAAAAAAAATTATCAAGCTTTCTATAATTGGACATAATCTACAGTGCCTCAAAAACAACGCTATACAAGTAGTTTTAACTCATAAATAAAATATACTTTCAACATTAAAATTATGAAGGACATGGGATTACTCAATTCGTACATTTCAATACAGTTGGCACTGAGTACCGCTTAAACGAATGTTCGATGATTTAGCTGAATATTCGGCCCATCTCTACATACTTTATATTGAATAGTGATTAAATAATGTTTTTATTTCGACACATTTCTAAAAGACAATTTTATGTATTATAACAAAAATTGAATTAATACAACTTTAAATCAATACCTATCTATACCAAATTGAATTAATATGAGTTTTGTTATTGTTTTTTTTTAAATTAATATACAGGACATTTAATAGCAAACTTCAATTAAACTCTTTTAAAAAGCATACATTTACAGAGCTTATTGAGTTTTAAACGTTTGTTTTACTTTAATATTTATAAATACTTTGACAACAAAATTTTTAGTTTTATGCGTTTTGGCTAATCAGTAATAAAAATATTAATATAACTATCTCAAATGGTTTTATTATGGAAACAATGTTTTCTTTTTTATAGAATAAGGGTGACAATTGGTGATAATCAAGCACACTGTCCAGTAAGTGGATGATGTGGCCCCTAGACAATATTACATTTATCCTCAATTTAAAATATTCATCCTCAATATTACACCTCTTAGTATAAAATGCAAATGGCTAAAAGTCTCCCTTATCTAATCCTCTAAGCTGCTATTTTACACTGGTATTCTGTAAGAGCGCGATCCTACCCTGGTCGAGCCGACCCATTCGTGCTTTAACCGTAATATAAGCTGCTGTGTGACCGCATAAATAAATGTAAGTAATAACTGTTTGTTTGGATAACTGATACCGGTTGTACATTTAAATATTAATTATCTAGACCCATCCCGTGGATATTCTAAAAGGCGACTGTGGGAAATACCAGAAAAATCTTCCCAAATGGTACCTTCATGCCAGTCGTAAAATGTAAAACGGGGTTAACGGAGACAAAGAATTTGATTTTATAAAAATACCAATTTAAATGGCAAGAAATTCGGGTTAATAAAAGGAATAATAATAAGAACATGGTTGTACAATTTTGTTTGAGTATAATTCGTTCTACATGTTGTACCTTAGTGGTGTACAAATATTAATGGTCAAGTAAATTACACAACAATACTTATCGAATTTTAACAACACAAATTAATATTATTCAGTTGATTTTAATAATAATAATTTTTAAATTATGTAACCGTGGTGAAAGAATGGCCAATAAATAAGTATTATTATACATGCACAGGAAGATCCACAATGAATACGTTGCACCCTCTTCATCCTCTTCCCCATTAACAGAGCCCGATTC